GACCTCATCGTCACTTTCCACCAGGTGAGATGGAGGCTAAATGCGCACTTATACATTTTATTAAAATGGCATCCAAGGCTTGTTATACCAACGAGAATATGAAATATAACACCTCTGTTATGAGATTCACAGGGTAAAGGGGTTGTGAGAAGAACTAAAAGTATGCCGTATAGCACACAAAATCTTACTAAAAGCATAATAGAATTAGACAAGTACGGCAACTCCATAAAATGTAAATTTTTAGTAGCAGTAGAGCTTGTGAAAGAGTTCGTCCAGGGAAGAACTGCCACCTTACCTATTTCTGCCGCCAAGCAGTAGTGTGAGGATTGCCTACTCTGCGGTTTTGAAGCTTACGTCTACTGGGAAATTACAATGGAAATTACAGGCACGTGGGACTTGTCAAATTATGTCTCAGTACCCATCAGATCTTTGTGATTTAAAGCTCCGAGTGATACTGCAACTGTTATGAACAGGCGTGTCGCTTACCATCAGGCGCACGACTTGCTCGTCCCGTGTGTACGTTTGTGTGGAGATATCATACTTGTCTCAATATACTGTGATAAAAGTCTGTACCTCTACTTCAAGTTTAAGAAAAAAGAACTGCTGTGATAAACCAACCTTCCACTGCCAATTCTAGTCGAAGATAAAATGATATAAACGATGTTAAAGGACATAAATGGTACATTATAAAGAGTACTTAGCAAAGTAGGTAATAAGCATTCGGATTATTCAAATAGGATTAAGCATCAGGGGAACGAAGGAATCCCTTTAACAGGTAAACAGATACTTTTGCTACATGTTACTGGTAGAATATTATCACGTTGGAAAAAGAACTATGTAAATCAGATTTTTTCTACTTAGTTTATATTGAAAGGTTATTCCGAGAATGGAGCACGCTTGCAAATAATTGATGGCCAGAAGAAAACATGCTACAAATAAGCAACAACTTCTATGCACATAACGGTAAGGCATCGACCCCAAGTCCCTCGTCTTAAAGCAATTAAAGAATCATTTTGTTATTACCAAGACATTCACAAAGTGAATAATATCTCCCTCTGAAATGTTGTAATTATTGCATTGTATTTTGTTCTAAATTTAAGTACGGTTGTGTATTTAGAAGTAAAAATTTGCAAATGTAAATAAAAGTATAACTATTTTGTTTGATTTTTTGGCTTCTATTTTCATTCATCCCAAGATTTATCTGTTATCCTCTCTATATATATTTGTTGAAGTTCAGGTAAAATACACATGCTATGCTCAATTAGACTGTCAATACAGATATCTACACTTCAAAATCTACAATTTGTTAAATAAAAAGAACAAGAAAGTATAAAAGTGCACAAATGAAACATTTACTGTAGAGAAATATGTTCTTTTAATGCTTCCTAAATTTGTTTGAAAATAAACATATAATTTCGAATCTAAATATGCCCAGTAAAGACAGCACATCAAGCTACACATTGACGTATCTTGTTCCGTTGCACTGGAGGCAATTTTCGAACAAAAATGTCGTCGTGTAGTCTGGTGTGCCGTTGTCCGTACATTAAAATGTACTAGAAATATAATTAAAAGCTTCAGCCCAAGTTTGCCCTCAAATTTGTATAAACAATATATTTTTAATTTTTATATAGAATATGGAGCGCGAAATTTGTATGCGATATTTTCATTACGGTGATCGGTGAATATAAATAGCAGAACTGATGACTGGTATAGCAGAAGAATGTTGAAGTGGAGACCGAGGACCGGAATTAGAAGAGTCGGCTGCCAGGAGGTTATGTGGACGGACATTATACTCAAAGTAACCAGAAAACCCTGGATGCAAACAGCCCAAGACAAATGCAAATGAGGAGGCCTACACTCAGCAGTGAGTGATTAAAGGTATAGAAGAAGTAAGAAGTATATTTTCAATATAATGTACACTTGGCGTTTATGTGATCATAGGAATAACATTGTCTGGGGCTCAATCACTTCACGTAATATTACAAGGCACCTTAGAAAATTGACAAACCTAGCAGTATTTTTAAATTTATTGAATGTCACGATGTTATACTACCATGATATTCAATTACTTCTTGTGAAATTACTCCATTAGTTTGTTATAATTATTATAACAAAGATTGAAACACTAAGAAAAAGTCAGTCGATCCGGCTGGATTCGTATCCGGCAAAAAAAGTCGTTAATAACCAAAAAGAAATATCTGCAACAAACACTTAGAGAATTTCGTAAGGTCTGCTGGTCCGTTCGGTGGCTTAATGGGCAGAGCATCTAACACCGATTGCCTGAACCGGATGTTGGTTGGAACCCAGCCGGATCGAATGATTTTTCTTAATGTTCCGATCTTTGTTATAATAAATTAAGCCTAACAAAAGTTAGTGTAATAAATATAGAAAGCAATGCATATCACACCACAATTTCCACGTGAGTAGAGATTTGCGATACTGTCAGTCGGAGGTCGTGGTGTAACCCGATTCCTAAGGTCTCACCGCAACCCGCGGTAACGCGGTGCAATAGCCATTCTAGTCTACGATAAACCGCCGTTCACTTTGGCTAAAAATTACGGTACAGTACAGTATTAGATCTTATGGTCTGAAAATAGAGTTTTAATTTGCATTATTGGACAGTGACTGACTACTTTACCATGTACTCAAGTGGTTTTGATTTTAAGTGAACAGTATAAGTTTACCATTATGTACCGGACAACGTTACTTTTGACATCAATGTGCATGTTATCAGTGAAAGATTTTTATATGTTCTCTGTATAAGGTTTAATTTTCAATGCAGAATTTGAGTCCTTGTTGTATTATTACTAATACATAGTGGAGTATTTTTAATAAAAAAAAAAGAATATGAATGTCATGGTGGTAAAAAGGTTATGATATTCAATTTCCATAAAGTTAAATAGATTATAACAAAAATATAAAGAACAAAATCCTTCAACGCGTAAATTTGAAGACTACTAAAATATTTTAGACTTATGTAAAATGCATGAGACATAAGTTTTTACGTAAAAAAAATCAAGTCACAAAAAAAACAAGTCGCAAGGCCACCGAAACAATGAATTTATTGTAAACCAAATTTCCCGATCGCATAATTTCACGAAATTCAGCCGTTAAGTGGCCAGCTCGATCATGGGGTTATGTTAAAGACAAAGTCTATACGTAGCCAATCGAATCTATTGCAGCCTTAAAACTCAAAATTCGTGAAGTGATTAACTGTGATTAACGAAATAGACCCACCATTTTGTCAAAAAGTTATTAAAAACTTTGAAAGCCAGACTGAAAGAATCGACATCTTTTTTATCAACTTTTTTTAATACAATAAAAATTTGATTCATTGTCATCTAAATTTATTGTTTTATTTTGATTTACAAACCAAAGTTCTTGTTGAAAACCCCTATATATATATGATTATATGATTTAGCTAAACGGACAGCTATATTAATGTTACGTAATTTAAAAAAAATGACATCATTTTCTCTATTTCGTTTGTTTTCGTGTTATTCATTATTGTTAATATCTTTCGTGGATACTAAAACAATTCGATATCCCAATATCAAATCAACAGTGGAAAGGTAAAACGTATTTTAACGTGCATTTAAAAATTTTACCTACAGGAGAGCGATTTAAAATAGTTAAGAAAAAAATCATAGCTCTAGTTTTATTTGTTATATGGAAAACTAGAAACTTTCATCTTTTCCACTATAACAAATAAAATAAGAGATATGTTTTTTTTTCTTAAAAAAGTTACTTTAAGTCGCTCACCTGTAATATTTTCCAAATGCACGTTAGACGTCGTACACATCCAGCGTCGAAATGTTACAGATATTTTAGGAAAATTATTCGTAATTAATTAGTACAATTAACGGAAAAGAACGTTGTCACCGTGTATTAGGATAAGAGTAGAAGATGACAAATGACCGGGAAAGAACAGTAAAGTAATAATGATTATAAGATCAGTAACAAAAACAGAGGTTATGCTTGTTTAAGCTTTGTTTAATAATAATTATTAGTAATGAGAGCATAACTATATTTGTTAGTAATGCAAAAATGTAAAAGTTGAAAGTAAAAAATATGGCGTAAACATATTTTTTCAATCAGTTCACAGTTCATTCTTCGCACCAGTTATTTTTTTTAGTTATTTATTTTGCACTGTTTCGCTAAAATAGAGTTGTAATCACAGACCACATAAAGTTGTAATTGTAGCGCGTAATTTGTTTTATATATGCAATATTGAATACCGACAGCTGTTTCAAAATATTCGCAAACAAAAAAAGAGTTGCTGCAATTTAAAATCATTTCATTAAAAAAAAGCAATAATAAGGTAAATACTTAACTGGAGGCCACATTATCGAAGCTCTAAATTGACGAGCTTGTAATGATTTACTAGAACTAGTTTTAATGTTTTTTTAATATATTTAAATTAACGCGTCACTCCGCACAAAAAATGTATAGGTGTCTATTTCTATTTCACAACTATTATCGAAATATTGTGCAATCACGGAAGTGAAAATGCTAATAATTAAAAGCTCTTTAGCAGTTATTAGTGTAGTGTAAATTAATTGCGATGCAAAATACCGAAAGTACAACCGATTTCAATTCCACTGTGACGATTGACAAACTACGAAAAAAAGCGTGCACTTGATCAAATAAATAAGTATGTCGGTTTCATTGAAGTACCTTACGCGTGGATAACAGAACTAGAACACTGAAAGCAAACGGTAAGCGAACACGGGCAGGCGAGCTGTCGCTGTCGTACTCACGAAAGACATTGCGTCGCGCGGCGTCCGCTGAAAACTATCGTGAAATTAAACGTACTGAGAACAACACCGACGTCTCCGTGCTGAAGCCGCAACACTCGCACACGGTCAGGTAGCACTCATCCGCTGTCTCCTCGAAGGTCATGGCGCGCGCGCATCGCACGGCGAGCCTACGGCCACTGCCGCGCGCAGGCCCGCCGCGCCGCATCCCCATGCATCATCGCCACCGCGCACTACACTCACCGGGGCCGCAGCCGCAGCCGCAGCGCCGTCGCTGCCTGGCTCCGGCTTGCTGTCGGGCTCGATGAGGTCTCCGTAGGCTGGCATCGCGTCCGCGTATCCCTCCTCTTCAGTGTCGACGTCGTCGCGTGAATGTGCTGGAGAGGGCGTGCGCGCCGCAACGCCGAGTTTTACACGCGCCAGCGCCACCGCCTCCTCGAGCGACCCCACTTCCTGCTCCCCCCTCTCCTCCCCGTCATCGTGATCTTCCGAGAGGCAAGCAGACGCCTGCGCGACGAACGCTATTCGTCGTCGCAAAGCGCTATCAGGACTCGGCTCTTCGACTGGCTCTATGGGCTTTTCCATTTCGGGTTCACTCGATTTGCGCTTCCAGGCCGCTTTAGTGAAAGGTCGCGTAGCGACTGGATGTTCGACTGCGATCGGACTAACGGGCGGTTCTGGAGTTACCACCTCTAATTCCGCAAGTGGTGGAGTGGGAGCTTTTTCTAATGATGACTCCGCAGTTTCTGTTTGTGGTGGGGGTGTAGGAACGCGAGTTCCTTCCGGTTTTTTCCTCCCAATGCTACCCATGCGGCGAAGCAAACTGCCTCCGGCGCTATCTTTCTTTTTTTTGTCAACACTCGGTGAACTATCGGTACTTCGAGAAGCTTCGCTGGCCGCATCGCGATGTTTCTTGTTTCGTTTGCGCATCGTGCGTTCGTCGCGGACGATCTCGCCGTCTGAGGCGGAGGACTTGCCAGAGCCAGAGCGCTTGAGCGATCCGATGTGGAAGGGCGAGCCGGACCGGAACGGCGAACGTAGCGTGTGAAGCGTGCGTCGGAGGCGCGACGGCGGTGTCGGAGAGGGGGGTGGCATCGGGGGCTCTTCGTCCCGCATGATAGTGAGCCGAGTGCGGCGCGCAGACTGCCGAGTAACCGGCAACGTCCGCGCCCCAGCTGGTGCGGCCTTGCTCCCCGACGAACGTAAATCTCGGATACGATTTCGACGAGGCCGATACCGACGACTTAGCGCCTGGATACGCACCAATGTAATGAGAATGTTGCGCAACGCAAATATCGAAGGCCCTTCAAACGTAAGGATTCGTAATTCGTGTCCAACGAGGTCGCATCGTAGGGTATTTTCCACAGAGCCGATAAGTGAACTATGACTAAGTTAAATGAGGTATACTGGCTCTCATTCATTAACTTTTTATGCGTAAAGCTCATTCTTAAAATCACATTAAAATTAATAAAAACCGCGAATCTGAAGTGCAGTCACGAATACGATCAAACTTACTTGTGAACTGAAAAGCCTCTCTCTCACCCTAATCATGTCAGTGAATCAATCAACAACTAAACTGAATGACGGTCAACATAAAGTGCACGAAATATACCGCTTCGAAATTACCACCTCCAAAACATTTTTTCATGCATATGGAATCGGATCATTCATACGTGACGAGATTTGCGTTGAAACATATCTGCATGATATCTTGACAGTGATAGAAATCTGAAACCAATAGTAGCAAGTTGATCAACTCGATTACTCGATTCAATATCATATAAAACAAACAACTTTATATGCATGTACTGTATTATCTATTTTAAACATCTCCATGGATTTAGAACATTCAAATGAGGCAATAAAAGTCTAAAAGATTTATTACCAAATGATTACCAAGTTCGTAAATATTTTTTATAGCGTGAATCATGTCAACAACATTATAAGCCTATATCGCTACGATAAATTATATAATAAGTAGGTAAATTGAGAACGTTGACCTCACTGATTGTTATAACAACTTGAGTAATAATACTTACTTACTTGCTTTACACGGCTGGTACTTAGAACTACGAAAATCAAAATTGTCTTAAGATTCATCCCTATCAAAATTTCAAATATTAATATTGTAAACAGCACGATTACTATTGTATTTTTACTTACTTTAAATTTAATTTTGAGATTGTTTTATTAGAGCTGGTTGATACACGTCATATAACTCAGCCCTTAAAATGTAAAGAATTTGAATAATAAAAGGTTTGAGTCTAAAAACCAACTTAACTTGACCTTTTTCACTACATAATACATGTAACTACAAACAACGTTCTATAAGGGTAAATGAGCATGTTAATGTAAATAAATAAAGTCCGTTTTGAAATAGGTACTTATTGGTGTGTTAAAGAAATCTACGGTACAAACATTTTAAAATTTTAAAACTCCAAAGAAAGGGTGACTGCACACTATGGAATATACATCAGGATACTATATAATTCCAGCAACTTTAGTAGAATTATAGTGCTTCTGTTAGTGTTTAATGACCTTATGATGCGAATTGATGAACCATGCCATTTAGCAGTACGTGGGCAGTTGTACGGTCTCCTTGTGTAAACGGAAGAAGACCCGCAAGTGAATATAAGTGTTACATCGTAGTTTTGATATCGACCGGCAATATGGTGGTACCGTTGGAAAGTCTCACCGTTTTCTCTCTACATTCTCAATAAATATAAAATGAATCTATAAGTCGGTTGGACTAATCTATGTAATAATAATAACGCACACACTCAACATAGCCCCGCACTAGGGAAACCCTGTGTCGCGGGTACCATGGACACACACATAGACAACCACAAATTACACCCAAACTCACGAGAGAAATAAATGTAGGCCATACAAATATTTCTCCCGGCCCGGGAATCGAACCCGGGGACCTCTGCGTGGCAGTCCGGTATGGTAACCATTCGGCCACGGAGGTAGTTATGTATACATAGTATCTAATTGATTATGTGAGAAGATTGTAAAATTATCACAGATATCATATCTATTGCACTTAATTGCGTCATAGAAAATTTAAACTTAGTAAATGAAACTAATTTTAACATACGTCAAAAAGAGGAGGAGGTTCGCAATTCGACTGTCTTTTTTCTTTGTATGTATGTTACGCGATAACACCGGTATTTGTGAACCTATTTCGATGATTCTTTTTTGTTGGAAAGCAGATACCTTAGACGTAGTCTCATTTAAATTTGAAGAAAATATTTCACCTCCAAGGGTAAACTAAGGGATGAATGACATTTGAGGTCGGTTTTTTAGTAGTCTGTAGTGATTCGCCTTACTGCCTTACTGATGAGCAAAATTTTTTCAATTCACAAAAGATATTTCATTTTTAGGCTTAAGATGAAAAGGTACGATGGATTCGCTAGAGAATTCATACGAATTCCCCGTTCCTAAAAACAGATCGCAGTCTGTATAGTTCCTTATATATATAACATAGATCTGTCCATTAAAGTCGACTGGTAAAAACAACCTTCAACTATAATATACAGATGGGTTGACGATCATATTAAAAATACACAAAGTAACACAGCGTTATTGGCGACATCCTCTACGCGTTACACTAACATCTTGTACTACTTGTTTCGTTGTTCTTTTACGTATTAAATAATACTACATTTTAGACAATTTATGTGTCGTATATTCATAGGGCTTATAGTAACTAAAATTTTACTTGAATACAAGGCTACATTGTAAGAGAACAATATTGTTCATTTGGGCAAACATGAACTTGAGTAGCAGTAGGGTTGGTTGTGAATGAGTTCGTCCAGGGAATTACTGCCACCTTACCTATTTCTGCCGCCAAACAGTAATGTTAGCATTACTGCGTTCCGGTTTAGAAAGGTAAGGGTGAAGGTGAAGTTACAGGCATATAGGACTTGTCAATTTATGTTTTAGTGGCAGTGCCCTTCAGTTCTTTGCGACTTAAAGCACGGAGTGGCACTGCAACTATTATGGACAGGCGTGTCGCGAATCACCAGGCGCACAACTTGTTCGTCCCGTCACTTGGTAACATAAATAATCAGTACAGAGTACTAAAACAAGCGACCTCAAAAGTCATACATCATAGATTATCCGAATATTTTCGTCAAATTTAAATGGGACCACTTCTAAGACACCCTCTTTCCAACAAAAAATCATCAAAATCGGTTCACAAATGCTTAAGTTGAGTTATCGCGTAATATACATACAAAAAAACACATACATTCGAATTGAAGACGGTCAAAAAATAAAGAACTTATCTCAAATATCTATCGTGTATATGTCATATTGCCCCTGTCCTAATTAAATCGTAACCTTGGTATAATGTAGGTTTAAGGGTGTGATGTATATATATTTTTGTAATATTCTTAGTGTTTAAAATAAAAAAAAAAAAAAAAAAAAAAAAAAAACAAACCGACATGTAATCATATGTTTAAAATTGATTTTATCACATTAAAGTCATAAAAATAACAGATACTACAATAAAAGCGTAAATGCTAAATACTAAAACTAGGATTAAGTTTGATGAATAAAATTGGGTCGCCGCGGCAAGGTGCCCAAGATTCTGGTATTCTCCCTTTGTATAGCTAAGCTAATAGGTTGGGCAAGATAGCTTGGGTTAGCTTGTATTGGTTTGGATTGCCCTGGGTTTCCCAGACACTTCGATTCGCCGTCGGAGAGTGAGTCGCAGATGGAGAGCTATGGCTCTACAACTGCCGACATAGGTGAGCAACGGGTGGTGAAAGCCCCAGTGACATGGGTCTATAAGCGGCAGAATTAGGGGAGTCTGTCCCTCGTTACTGGTGGACTCGAGATCTCTGATGTTTCAAATAAAAAAAAAATTGAAAATGTTATTTACAAAGAGCAATCCCTAGAGTTTCTTGCTCATTCTTCTCAGACCTTACGAATGAGTGGTAGAGTTTAATCATTGTGACGATTTCAAGTGTAATAATGCTTACCTATGAAATAAAGATTATTTTGAATTTGAATTAGAATTTGACAAAGATGGCAACGTACGTGTTTCAGGTCTGTCTCTAAGATTACTGACGGGGAGACAAGAACTCTCCCCGAGATGGGGTTCGGTGCTATCGGACCAGTCACCGTCGGACTCAGGGAAGAATACACAAGTGTCCCCGTGACTTCGGCACATGGGGAGTAGATGGAACACCGTCAGGTTTTAGTCAGTAGGAGTCCGACATAACCCTTTGCCTCCCCCGGGCGCAGGGTATCCATGTGGATTTCTTGACGTTAAAAAAAAAGGGTTTCCCAGACACGAAACGAACTACATAAAATTTTATAACTCTCCTATTTAAGCATAAAAAAATTATCGGCGAATTTCGTTCGTCGAATCTTGAAACCTGTCTTTTGAAAAGTTGTCATTTTGCAGATACCGAGATACCGAGCGTGCAAAAGTCGTAATTTTCTTTAGTTTGTTTAGCACATAGTTTCCCAAAGTGGTACCGCCCCCCAGTGGGCGCTGAAAAGTCCTTGTGGGGCGGTAAGGGCTTCGGAAGCGACTGAGGGGCGTTAATGCCACCGCATTTGAAAAAAAACCTGAAAAGTCCATATAAACTACACTGCATAAATATTTTTTTTTCTTGTGATTTTTTGTGTTAAGTTAATACATTAACTATTCAATCACTCAAATATTTTTTGTGGAGGTGGGTAGAATTTTTTTTATCTTGCCTTAAAAGTGGGCGGTGAGGCAAAAAGTTTGAGAACCCATGATTTAGCACATCACATCTCTCGTCATTCTATCGTCGTTATTCTATCGAGTTATATTTCTATCTCAAAAGGAGGATTAAATGATATCGAATAGATTTATACGACATTTGATAAACAATGTTTGATGGAGTTAGACAAGAAGTAATGTAAAAGAATATTACTCGTTCACGATAAAAATATAGAACAAAATATAATACAATAATTCCTGGAATTCAGGGGGTCGTATTATCCACCCCATATACATTATATGGGGTGGTATGGCATGGTAAACCGAATTTCTGTAAATTTTGTAAATTTTAGATCATTTCTAATCAAAAGAAAACTATAAACAATATTATTTTATTTTCATAAGCACAATA